AGTGAGTGAGTGAGTGAGTGAGTGAGTGAGTGAGTGAGTGAGTGAGTGAGTGAGTGAGTGAGTGAGTGAGTGAGTGAGTGAGTGAGTGAGTCCAGTCTCCTGTCAGTCTGCTCAGCTTGTCTCTGTGTATCAGGCTGGACAGTCAGAACCTTAACTAAATAACTAAGTGATAACAAGAGGACACTCAGTTCAGAAACAGTGAAGTCAAAGCAGAAGTGACTCTAGTCTCTGATCTTTTCACATGGATTTGTAGAAAATCATGCCACTGCTTCAGACATTAAAATGAACTCTTGTTTGCAAAGGTAGATTTACTTAAAGCAATACAAAGCTGGTTATAATATGGTATATCCATTATTTGTTTGAAGCAATAATGTAATCGACGATCACTGGTGAAACATGAGTGTACGTCGTGAGCACGCCTTTTATACTCCTGGCGTGGGGTGATGCACGCCTACCTCGCATTCGATTTGTGAGTGTGTGCGCCATACGTAACACACAAGGGGCACTTGCTCCTTCATTGCGTGCGACGGATTTTCTTTCCACGGTGTCTTAAAAATGTGCACGTCTCACTCGCAAACTCCTTGCGGGGGCAGTAAGTTACACTTGTGGCATCGCTGTTCACTCACAGAGAATTCGAAGAATTTGTCTGACATCTCAAAGATCCTCCGTACGTGCTTACAGGCTGTCTGCGACCTCAACGTTTTGCAAGATGAACCTGCGTGGCACGTGCCATTCTGCACGTAGAATTTGGATGCAGACAGGCCGTAGGAGCCCACATGCTGGTTGTGACCGAGGCTTAAGATAAGCTTCTTAATGCCTTGCACTGACTACAAGATGCTTTGACCAAAGCCATAACGCCTTGACATCAGAACAATGGGCTTACAGGAAGCTGTCTGAGAAGAACATACCAAGATACAGCACTTTACTGGTACACATGCTTTTTAAAGAACCATGAACCATACCAGAACTGGCAAGTTAGAACGTGAAAGTAAAACGTTTATGTTAGTGTGTTTACAACTGTGGATACAGAAAAAATCTCAGTGACAGTCAGCTGGAGGGCCGGTGACATACACCTGTGACCACAGTAGATACAGACAAGACATTGGGAATCTTGGACTGGTGGCATCATCATGTTGAGCATCAACCAGCTCTATTAACTCCTTCTAAAAGGCAGTGGTCAAGGCCTCAAGCCTTATTAGAACTAAACCAACCAGCCTGATGATAACAGAAAAACCCCAGCAAGGGATGCCATTCTCACAGCAAGACTGGATATCCTGAACAGAACCTCAGCACTGCTTCAAACTGATCTGCTTTTATGTTAATCTAACCTGCATTAGCCAGCAGAGATTAAATGAGAAAGTTTTGTGAGGAAAACCATAAACAGTGATGATAGTGCACTGCCTGGACACAAGCTTGTGTAGAGTTTGCATGTCTCTGAGCTCTCTGTAGCTCATTGAAGGTCATGAATTACTCCTTTAATTGTCCTTTAAATATTGTTGTGAATGCTTTCTGTAAAGTGTTTCCTGTTTAACACTTGTTTTAAATGACTTGCACTTGTGTTGCTTTTGCTGTGACTTTTTTATGCTGGTATGTTTTGAGCTTACTTTTGTTTGTCTGCGTAAAGTTTGTAACTGCATGACTGTGCCAACATGTGTTTCCTCCTCCCTGCTCTTGTTTGTAGGCTGCACCTGATTTTCAGGAGACAAGGCCTCGAAATTATGTTCTCTCTGCCAGTGCATCAGCGGTAAGAGCCCCGAGCTAAACAAATGGCATAGTAGCTAGGCTGACATACTGAAGCCAGACCATGTAGCTAAAGAAACTGTACTTCTGTCTAATGCAAATGAAAAGTTGAATTAATTAGCAAAACTAGTTTGCTAATATATTTTAAACATGGCTGGAAAACAAACATCATTAAGTCAGTTTTCTGACATTGTGATTTGCTTGTGGTAAAATACTTTGAGCATTTACTATTACAGCCTCGTGTGTTCACATCACAATGGAAAACAAGAACCTTGTGCTGTTGCAGAACAATATTTTGCACTGCAAACTCCAGCTGGTGCTATGCTTAATTTCCATGGTAATGTTTCATCCACAAGTGTGTTTTTGTTTGAGTTTAGAAATGGGTTCCATCCTGCACTGGTAGCATCACATAACCCCTGAACCTCACGTTTAACAACCACCTATGGCGAGCTTTTTAAACACGAGAAAGTGCTGCATTTCTGATACTTAAACAAGTTAGGCATGCCATGTAAGCCATGTGATGAAAGGGCTTTGCATTTTTAACTCTTGTGTTTGTTGTTTCAGCCCAAGAATATGTTTATTTTTGGCACACAAATGTAATAGCATTTGAAATGAGCCCCAGTAAGTGCTAGACTTCACACCAAAAACATGAAACACATGTTGTTCTGTCACTTAAAAGCTCATGTACTCAGTTCCATTTAGACCTGGTTTAAGAATAAGTTCAACAGGACTGTTAGTTAAACAGAAGCTAAAGCAGCTGTGTGATGAAGTTCTGTCCACACTGGTAACACAGAGGAACACAAAGAACAATTAATGCTGAATGGTCCTGATTTTCCATTTTAGTCGACCATTCAGTGTCACAAACTGTTCAGAAAACCCCCCTGGAGCAATCTATGGTGTGTGTCTTATCACATCCACTGGCCTTTTTAATGTCACAAAATATCTTTGTTGTCAGTCTACACTTTAGATACAAACCTAAATCATGTTTTTGATTATGTTTTATTTCATATTCAAAACAAAGAGGGAATGGGTCAAACATTGTGTCTGTGATTTTGTTTTTCTGCAACTTTTAATGAAGTAAAAGTAGAAACTCAGCAACGTAAAACTCAAAAATAGAAACACTGCTTTACTACTATTATTATGATTTTACACAGTGCTGTCTAAGATATTAGTGATGTTGTTAGGAAGTGAAATATTATGTTCACAAAAATGACCCAAATATGCATCATTAGGAGTTTACTGTCCACCACTAATACTGACAAACTGACATCATGTCTGCAGGTCCCGGAATGCTGCTGATGCTGCATTCATCTGGACAATAACACTAAACTCTAACCACACACTAACTAACCTCTTCAGTTTCAGTGACTCACTTAGTATTTGTGTCAGCAAAGTACAACACCGTTTATATGTGATTACATAATTCTGTTTAATTAGTATCATACATGGTGGGAGACTCGAACTTTAGAAAATAGTAAAGTGATTTGAACTGGACAGTCGTATGACCTAAATCCCTGTCAGCAGCAGGTTTAGCTTTGACCTCACATGCAGGTTTGTCTAGTTGGTCATCTGTGATGGTTGTGTGATTTTTTTTTTTGATCACAATAGCTTTTAGTCAGCTTTGTTGACTTTCCATTTGTGTTTCTCTGTGACTAAATCAGCTGCAGAGCGGCTGGGAGAGCTGGGATGTGGCGCCTGATCCCAGTGTATCAGAGCAGATGAAGGTTGTACACATCATAGGAGTAGCACCATGTCGTTTTGTGTTGTTTGTTAGAGGTGGTAGAGGAGTGATTTTAGTCAGTCTCTGGTGATTTTTAAAATTTTTTAAAAAATTTTTAGTGTGTGTAGTGTGAAGAGTTTCGTCCCTTTTTGCAGCTGATAAAACGTCACTCTTTTTTTTGCCATTATGTTGGTTTTCTCAACAGTTTAAAAAAAGCTGGAACTACAGGGGGGTCAAATTAAATTTTATTTCTATACTGGTCTTATGTTCTGCTTTGGAGGAAGTAAATGATGTGAATAGACATCATTTATGAGATTATGAGCTGTGTAGTAACTTTCTCACTTTTAAATACATTACTATGAATTCTGTTTTCTTACATATTCTTTTACCTAACCTAACATGAGCCGGTGAGAAAGGGAGAGAAATCCAAAGTTTTCATGTGTTGACATACAATATTATTCATAATGTAGAGTTTTTACAATTAGAATGCTGATATTTCTTCTTGGGCTGCACAGGGATTCAGTGGTCAGCACTATTGCCTGCCAGCTAGAAGATCCCAGGTTTGCATTCCAGCCTGGGACTGGGATCTTTCTGTGTGGAGTTAACTGCTAATTCTAAATTGTCCGTAGGTGTGAATGTGAGTGTGCTTGGTTGTCTGTCTCTAAGTGTAGCCCTGCGATAGACTGGTGACCTGTCCAGGGTGTCCCCTGCCTTCGCCCTAAGTCAGCTGGGATAGACTCCAGGCCCCCATGACCCTAGAGAGGATTAAGCGGTGTTTAGATGATGGATGGATGGATGGATAATGCGTGGTTCTCAACGGGGGGGAACAGCCCACTAGGGGGCCACAGAGAGCTGCCGGAGGGGCCTTGAGATGACTGTGAATGTTCTGAAGAAAAATCCAAAAACACATTCTAATGACAAGATAACAAGACAAACTAACTAAACAAGTAGTCAATCTGTAGTGCCTCATTTGTATAAACTAACTGCCTAGCCCTATACTAACGAATAAATAAACTGATCAAAATGCAGTGTGGGACAGTAGCATGGTACGCATCATTGAGGTCCCCGTCGTCCAGACCTTGGTATTTTTTTCTCTGACGTGTATACAAATAAACTGGGGCTGGAATTTTTCATTGGATACAGGGGGCCTTGGCAGCAGAAAGGATGAGAACCCCTGAGATAATGGATGGGTTGATATTTCTTCTTGCAATACCACAGTATTCACACAGGGGGGCCCTCCACAACAGGCTTTTATTCATCTTCAACATCTGCAGCTTTTGTAGAGAAAAGGTCAAGTTTAGTTTGAGCTGGTGGCCAACAGCAGCAGCAGCTGCCACACTCACACGTGTCACGCAAGTGTTTATGCTCCACTCAGATTCTGTATTTACTGGTTTTCTGATGACTGAGAAGGTTCTCGTCATATATTTTCAACAGAATTACAACTGACTCAATTTAGCATCATTGGGTTTAAACAGAAAAACATGTCTCTCAAGCATCGGTCACATCAGTTCAAAATGAAGAAGGTACAGGGTCAGGATCACCCACTGCCCCGACAGCACACAGTTATACAGGTTTGAAGAATAAAAGTGTACTGACAATGTTTAGGTGTGCATTGTGAGGCAGATTCATTTTTAAGCAGAAGTAACGCAGGGAAGGAGACTTCCTGAGCTGATCTACAGGCTTTAGATTGTGGCTATTTTTATTGGAAAGGAAACCTTCAAACACTGCAAGGAGATATTATCTTTGAGTTTATAAAAAACACAAAGCAGGTATTTCAGCGATACTTGTTTGTACCTCTGAAGAACTTCTGTTGGTCAGAGGAGTTGATATATTCAGTAACACACAGTGGGTCTAAAACAGGGGTCTCGAACTCCGGTCCTCGAGGGCCGCAATCCTGCAAGTTTTAGATGTTTCCTTCTTCCAACACACCTGATTCAAATGATCAGGATCGTTATCCGGCTTCTGCAGAGCTTGATGAATAACTGATCATTTGAAGCAGGTGTGTTGGAAGAAGGAAACATCTGAAACTTGCAGGATTGCGGCCCTCGAGGACCAGAGTTCGAGACCCCTGGTCTAAAAGTTTGAGGATTTAGAAACATTTGGTTCAAGAAGTTTAAAAATGTAAGTTACAGAAAAAATATTCAGGCTTTTGCTCTAGACCTGCCATCAAACTGATCACATCAGTGTCAATTACGTTAATTTTCTGTACAAAGGTCAGTTGGGTTCTTCCATTGAAGCAACGTTCAGATGTGTCTCAAGTGAACCTGATCGACTCATCAGAGGCTTGTTCAACTAAATCAACCAGCAACCACTGTTTACCTGTTAAAATGTGACTGTGCGTCAGGCAGAACATTGCCTTTTAAGTAGTATTATGATATTAGAAAACATGTCATCATAAAGTCAAATTGTTGTAAACAAGTTTCTCAGCACCAAGTCATGGTTATATTAAAGCTTTCTAAAGGCACAGTGCATGGAGCTCCAACACACTGTGGAGACTGGATCAGTTGTATCCAAATCAGGATCAGGCGGAGTAACAGCAAGAACAACATCAGAAGATCAATACATCAGACTTTGTTCACTGAGAGATAGAACAGAAAATTTCATCACAGGTACAGAATTTGCTGAATAAAGAACATTAGGCTCCAATTCAAGTGACAGTGCTCTTATTATTAATGCCAGTTCTCAAATAGTAAAACCGATGTTATTTGTAATGACAAACTTTGTATTAAATTCAAAACAAATGCAGAATAGAAGTATCTTTAGTAGTTCTTGCACACTTCTGGATTCAACTGTATCTTAATTGCTTGACAAATTGTAATTTTTTAAGTGTGCTCTGTAATGTAAGTAGAATTCAAATGAATATTGGATATTAAAACATGAACCTCACTAAACGGCTGACAGTGATAATACTCTCAATCAAGAACAGAAATGACTGAGAAATGTAGAGGTGTTACGACACAGACCATCTGGATAATGTTAGAATTCCAGACATTTCTTAAAAACCATTTAGCCATGAAATATTTAGCCCCCTGGGGGCACCGACAGATCTTGGGCCAAGTGCAGTAAAATGACCTGAATGAATGACCATGGCCAAAGTAGACTATATGAAATTAATATATTGTTGTAAGTAACAAAAATATTGATTTTAATTTAAACTAATTAGTTAAATGTAGTAAAAGTTAATTGTATATCAACTTCATTTTAAAAAAGTCAGTCTTCATCCACAGTTGGTGCCTGAACACTGGCCTGGGGTCAGTGGTCAATATCAAGTCAGCCTGTCTCACTTACATTCAGGGTGGAAATAAACAGTACTGAAATAGACTTTATCTAAACTCAGTTTCTGCAAAAACAGAAATGCACCTCAGTAATTTTCCTTTGTCTTCCTCCTTTAAATTGGTGAAACTGCAGCACAGACAGCTTTCAGCTGTTTCTAGTGTCAACATACTGTGATGTTTGAGTCTCAGACTGGTTCATGACTGTTTCTTTTTCTGTCCTCTTGCTGCTTCTCTCAGCTGCTGAGTGAGGAAGTAGACAAAGTGAGTACCTTCACTGCAACAGACAGTGTGTCATCCAAAGTGTTTCATAAAAAGCATGACATGAACTCTTTAATACTTCCTTCCTCTTCTTTGATTTCCACTTACAGGCAGAGCATGAACTTCGTGTTGCTCAGACTGAATTCGACCGACAAGCTGAGGTCACCAGGTTGCTGTTGGAAGGCATTAGCAGCACACATGTGAGTCACAGTCACCGGACAGTCTTGGCAATTGTGAAAGAAGCAGGCAATAAATCGCTGTTTAGTAGTTTTCCAAAAGATTGCACAAACGGAACATACTCATACACATGACATCAATTCAGTTCAGTTCAATTCTAGTTATATACTGCCATTTCACAACATATGTCATCTCATGGCACTTCACCTAGTTAAGGTGAAGACCTTACAAACCAAGTTGCCTCTGGATGACATATGAGCAAGCAGTTGGCAACAGTGGGAAGGAACCGGGCTGATCAAATTACAGTTACTCATGTCCCAATGAAATTGTATTTGTTGAAGTAACTTTGTGAGGACTGTTTGTTTCTTCTGTATATTTCTTTATTTTTTGTTGTGTGCAGTGGCTTATGAGAGGGTAATGACTAGTCTGATAAAAGTGACAGATTAAAACTGGAACATCATTATATGTCTTTTATAGATTTACATATCAGGCGGTGCATTGAAGTACCACACATTGCAAAGAGAACCTTTACATAGTAGTAGCATTCACTCTCTGAACCCCAGGTAATTTCTGGGCTTTTTTTTTTTTTGTTGTTATTTTGTTGTTGTTGTTGTTGTTGTTGTTGTTTTCCTCCTGTCATGTTTTTCCTCACTGCGGGCTCATTTTTCAAGTCCTTCACTTCGATGGAAACAGCACGGCTAGAAGGAGAGAGAACTCAGAAATGTTTTTTATTGAATATATTAAAGTTATAATGCCAAGCCAACATGTACAACATTTTTCCATTTGCCTACAGGTGTAAGCAATACTGGAAAAAAATGGCGACTCTACATACACTACCGGTCAAAAGTTTTAGAACACCCTCATTTTTCCAGTTATTTATTGCAATTCAAGTTGTACAAGTCCAATGAATAGCTTGAAATGGTACAAAGGTAAGCACTGAACAGCCAGAGGTTTAAAAAAAAAAGGTTTGGTTACACAAAACCGAAAATAATGTACATTTCAGAATTATAAAAAAGGGCCTTTTCCAGGAAACACAAAGTGGGTTAACAATTTAAAGCTGTTCTGTAGCAGTGAAGGTTGAAACAGCCTTAAAAGCTGGTGCTACTAATTCCTACAGGTGTTCCAACTTTTCTTGATTACATACAACCCCCTCTGTCTCCATAAAAGCAGTGTTGGAACACACTGTGGTACCAGACCCTCATGAGCATCAGCTGAACAGTATTGTACTGCAGAAAGTGGTGTGTTG